AATGCCATCAGCAACAGGTCTGACTGAATCCAACATTTAACATCTCAATCATGAAAAAAGTGCCAACTAATCCACTTAGTCCCAATTAGAAAAAATTTCCAAGCAAACAGTTGAGGAAAACCTGATTTCTGTTTTTCTAATATCTGAACTCATATCCGATGAAATGAAAGTGGCTATTGTGCCAGAGGTAAGTGAACCTAAAAACCAAAAACTAACAGAAACATTCATATGTTATTCTGGCATCTCAGTTTATGTCTAAACCAATTCAAACTTTAGCTTAATGGCAACAGCCATTCTCTCAGGGAAGGTTTGTTAGGGTTTCGAAAAAGAGATATGCTATGCTGCCAGATTATTGAGTTATAGGGTAGGTAAGCTGCTAAAATCTAAAGAAAAGAAGTTTATATCAAACCAGAGAAGCTTACAATCATGTCCACCATTTATGCTAAACAAATTGAAAAAACTGAAAGTTTAGAAACAAACTACTACCAATGTGCAAGTTGAAGTTCTTCGTCATCCTTATCCAGGTTCAAAGCCTCCCTAAATGCTTTTTCAGCTTTGTCAAATTCCTGCAATGGTATAATAAAACTCTGATTATAGCATGTTATGTTTCTCTACCCTGGTTAAGTAAAGTCAACTGCCAAACAATAGCTTACTTCTAATAACATCCATGCCTTTCCCACCCTATAGTGTGCCTCTGGCCAGTTAGGCATTAGCTTGCCACAAGATTGAGCATCTTTTAATGCCAATAGTCCTTCTCCCAAGTGGATCCAACACAAGCTTTTCTTTGAGAATAGTAAAGCTAGAAAATGGCGACTGGGCTGATCAAGTATTGCCTTCAATATCAACCCAAAACACAAATCATAAAATATAAAGGATGTAATCTACATCATAGAATATATGGAAGTAAGATACCAAATCTCTGATATAACAATTGTGCCATGTGTGTGTACAAATAGAAATAATGACACTTTAAGTATATCAAATGTAAACTATTTGAAAAGGCAAACAACCTAAAAGGATATTATAAAAAGTTACAGGAAATACACAAAGAAACAATGGTAAGAAGTTAATCAAAGATATAGTTCTTATTTAAAGTTTGAAAGAGTTATAATATGGGAAAAACATTGAAACTCAAACTTTAAATTGTGTCTATGTACCTCTATGTACCAAAATTTTGCCAAAAGATAATCCTTTCTCTCAAGAGCCTCATCCCCCTTTGCTTTTGCCAGGCAAAAGTGTTCCCGAAGCATGTTCTCTATCTGCAATATATTTCAAGTGCAGTACATAAAACTGATTAACCCACCACAAGCTAAAACAGGGCACAAGAAAAAACCTATGTATGTGAAGGAACAGGATACCAGAGTAGTCCTAGAAAGGAAAAAGAAAACAGTGCATGAAGGAATAAATATTAAAAACCAAACTGAACTAAAGATGTGATTAGAAAAGATCCATAAGTATATAATAATTAAAAGCTGAAGAAAGCATTAAGTTGGCATAATAAACAATAATT